CTCCTGCCCTCGGAGGCCTCCCCTCCTGTATTCCACCCCCCACCCCCCACCCCCAGGCCAGCAGCCCCAGAGAGCAGCAGTGGCTCCCCCAGGCGTTTCAGAGACGAACAAGATCCCACATGGTTGGACCCCAATTCCCCTCTCTACTACCTCTCCCCCCACCTCCCTGACGTCACCCCCACCCGCTCAGCACCAGCTACTCTATCCTCACCGCTCCTTGGGGTCAACAGGCACCTTCCCCCACCCCCAGGCCTTTGTCTGGTCCCTCCGCCAGGAACACTCTGCCCCAGAGCTCCTCTTTCAAGTCTTTACTGAACGACCCCCTTCCCTGGGCGCTCTGTGTAAAACTACAACCAACCCCCACCCGCCCTGAAGCCCTGCATTCCAGGGGCTCCTTGTCAGCGCTCTATCTTGTTTTCTTCCTGTGACATGTATCACCTTTTTAACTTACTACATAATTGACTAATTTGTCATGCCTCTCAAAACCCCAGTCTCCACCCCAATTAGAAGGTTAGCCCCATGGAGGTAAGGGGTTTTTCTGCATGTGGCTCACTGATGTATCCTAGAGAACCCAGAACAGTGTCTGGCCATTGAGGCACTGCCCCCAAATCTGTTGAATGATGGATGATGTGTGGCCCTGCATTACTAAGAGCCACTGCAGAGACTGGTGAGGAGGGCTTGTAAGAGGACTCACCCAAGGTAATTAAGAAGGTTTGCCCAATTTTGATACTTAACATCATCTTACTTGGATTGTAGTTTTCTTTGTTCATATTCTAGATCAGTTTTGAAGTCTTTGGGGGCAGATACTGCTGTATTCATGTTTTTGCCCAAGTGCCCCTGTGCTCCTTGCATAGTATGGGTCTCTGCTGAACATTTACTGAAATGAAACAAGGTTTACAGATATGAAACAAAACAAAACTGAACAAATTTAGTTTGCTTTGCAATTTATATATTTTAGTCCAATTTAAAGGATAAATATGTACATATTTACATGTGTATTTCTGTGTATTTATATAAATATGTGTTTGTATGTATACATTCTTATACATATGTACATTTCTACATTTACCTTTTAAATCAGACTAAAAATTATATTGCCTTAGTATATTTACACAAATCAATTACACTAAGTCAGTAAAAAAATTTTTTTTAAAGAAACAGAAACCAAAAAAGAGAAGACATTGCCTTCAATAAGTGTAGTCCCGGGAGAGAGCAGAAGATGAGATAAATGTGTCCTTTTCTGAGGCAATCTCAGCTCCTGTGAGCTCTCATGGTGTGAGCATCACGCAGTGATGAATGGGATTCTAGTGTTTAAAGATTTATAATTTTCATACAATATGACATCCTTATATGAGTGTTAATTTACCCAATACTCAATCAAAGAAATAGGCATTTGTCCCAGTTCTAAAGAATGATTTCTCTGGTTTGGCTTCATTCTCTAACACGGAGCCTCCTAAAGGATTTTTGAGAGTAATCTTGGCTCTGTGATTTTTGCTTTTTATGTGGTTTTAGAACCTAACCCCCAAGTGACTCTACCATAGTCTCTGAGCTCATAGCGTCCCTAGGAGAGCTACAGCTGATGATTCCCTGCTGAAGATTAAAACCAGAGACATATTAATGAACTGGACTCAGTGCTCTTGTGGCTCAAGCAGCAGATGGACGTTGTAATAAGGTTCCCTAAATGAATAATGAATTCATACGATGAAAACAGTGACCCACTGTTCTCATCTCCACTGAGAACAGGACAGCAGGCCATGGGTTTAAAATTGCAAGAAAGATGTATTTCTGATACAAAAATGCTTTGCCAGATATTGAAATGGTCTCTCGAGAGGGTGTTTTATGTGGAAACCTCTTCTTATGTGGAAACTTTTCTTTCTTAACCTTATTCTGTCTGGGGTAGTTTATAACATTTCTTAGAGTGTGTTCTAGCATGACACAGGATACTAAGAGAGTTTACTCAGAATATGGATTCTGTCATCAGACACGTTTCAGATCATTTGAGAAGTGGTGGTTTAGGCATATGAAGGTGGGTAGATAAATAGTACAGACTTCTGATGTCCCAGTCAGTGTACTATTTAAACTTTGTCTAACTTATGCCTTCTTTCAAGAATAAACAGCCAAACAGATCTTCACAGAGTTATCCTTTACCAGCACCACCTAAAAAAGGACTCCCTTGGAACTTTTCATCTTAAAGTTATAGTTTCTAACTAGTCAACAGTAAGGTGTCTTGGGAGGAAAATCATCTGTTCACCTCATTGATTGCTTGTTGATTTTTAAAAAGAAAAAAAGTAAATAGGAAAGGACTAAAGCAAGAAGGGGGCCTTATATTGTCTGTGTGACAATTGACTTTTGTGTGTGACAATTCCCACTGCACTGGCGTCAACACTGAGTTGCCTGCATGTGAACTTTAATGTTAGAGGTGGGTAGTTAGCACTTAAAATACTCTACTCAGTAGCTCATGCTCTTGAGTTCATGTTCTGCCAATACTGTTGTCAAAATCTATACCAGAGGATTGTTCTTCAGTATGAGGGCTGTTGGGAAGTACAGCTGACCCTTAAATAGCCAACCCCCCATGCAGTCGAAATTCTATGTATAAGGTTGACTCCCCAAAAAGTTAACTACTAATAATCTACTGTTGACTGAAGCCTGACCCACAACAGAAACAATTAACACATATTTTGTATGTTGTATTATATACTGTATTCCTACAATATAGTAAACTAGAGAAAAGAAAATGTCTTTTCAAATTGTCACACATCTCCAAAAAATGCCCAATGTATTTACTGAAAAAAATCCACCTCTAAGTGGACCCACCAAGTTCAAACCTGTGTTATTCAAGGGTGAAGGGTAATTTTAAACTAGTGAAATAAGTGATGCCAAGACAGGTGGTTAGCTAGGAAGATCGTACAGGCGTCCTTACCCCTAAATGGAAAAGGACTTGGACTGGCATGCCCAAAAGCCTTACAGAGCTAGAACCTGGGTTCTGTCTGGTCCTGTGTCCCCAAGCTTCACAACATCTCTGAGCCCAACCTACCCAGCAGACAGTGGACTGCTCTGCCTCAGTTTATTTTTACTTGTCTTTAGAGTTTTCCAAGCAAGGTTGTGTAAAAGAGCCCCAGGCCTGAGTGGGGACTTCCCCGAGCTTACAAGAGCAGATGGTAGAAAACTCTTTTTGTACCTGCTCGCTAACAAATGTTTGCACTTGTAGCTGCATTTCATCCAAGAACTGCCATCAGTGTTACATCCCATCGAGCTCTGAACACCAAGGACCACCAGTGTTTCTCAAACACCTGGTAATCTTCAAGCAGCCAAATTGGCTTAGGTTAATTGCCAACATCAGGTACCTGTTATTAAAAAGTGACCCCATGAGAGGAACATTTTTAATGTCAGCCTTCCTGGAATCACTAGAAAATTCTAGTCATTCAAATCTCTCACAATCCCTTTGACATTAGTAACTCTTGCCAGTGGACTCTATTCATCTCTGTATAGATACTATATAAAGCCAGACAGAGGCCCTTATCTGACAAGGTCTTCTTTTGGTAATAACTTAATGCCGAACGTTGCTGGGCCAGTTTTACTCTTTGCTTTTAGTAAACATACTTGTTGCTACCATCTTGAAGGAATTTCCTAGAAAAAAATAACTCCCAGTTAGTGATCGTTGGGTTGTTCCTTCCACATTTTCAAGCCTCATGTGGATCGTATAAAGTTTCCTCTCTCTTGGATACACCTTAAAGATTTAGGCAGATGCCACTTGACGGAATGCAGTCCTTTCACGGATGCACCTCCCAGGTCTTGGTGCATGTGTAAGTGAAGGTCTACTGAGCACATAGAAATACAGCCATTTTTAAACACAGAGCTTCTTTTCTATCCGTTGCTACATTTCATGAGTCAATTACAGTTGCCCTTTTAAATGATGGAGGTAAGCTGTTGGCATGTACATTTAATTATGGAGGAAGTAAACTCTTCTTTCACTTGAGTTATCTGTGAAAGTAGCTTTTTAAACACTCTTAAGCAAAATAACCTATCACAGTTTTATCACCATTTGTCTCATAAGAAACTCGGTCCTGTCGAAAGAGGTCCAACATATTTTGATTATAGAAGATATTTTGCCTTGCATGAAGACAAGACAGATAGCAAGAATCAAATCTACTATTAATAGGAGCTCCTTCAGAAGCTGTTATGCAAGTAAATCTTTGTAGCTGCTGAAATAGAAGCTTCCTGGATTTATTGTTACTTTGCTATGTCATAAAGCAAATCAGAAATTTCTCACCATATTTGTTTGATACAGCTGATGACCATTTGACTACATTCAAGAAATGTAGCTCTAAAATAATCTAAAGTTGGAACTTCACCAACTAAGTGAAACTCTATAGATTACATTTGGCTCATTTTCTGTATTGATCTCCAATTACAGAGCAAAGGCACTGTCTTCTGGCTGCCAATCAATAATATTAGAAGAATGAGATATGGTGTCTCATAATTTTATAAATACACTAACTTTAATCTACCTTCACCTGTCTATCACTGGTCTTGGAAAAGCAAGTGATGAATTGGCTGGGAGAAGAATAGACTGCACGCGTCTACATTTGTCTCCCAGCTATTTAGCTTCTTCATTTAAATTTTATCAGTGAATTTTACAGTTTATGAAAGTAAGGAAATGAATCACCAGTTTGCGCCAAGTGCACATGGCAGCCATGCTGTTGAGGTCCTGAAACAACCATTTGCACTCCCCATTCAGCTTTGTGCTGTTGCTTTCAGAGTAAAGAACAAACTAAACGGGTCATCTGGTCAAGACCGCGTTTGCCGTACAGACAGGGCCTTGCTCACGAAATGGGAAGTCTGCCCGAACGCTTCCGGCAGCTTGGTGTTGGGGCAGTTTGAGCCTCCGCCAGGGACACAGCCGAGCAGAGAATCATCACGAGATACAGCGGCGGTGCCTGCGCTTCTCAGAATCTGCCTCTAGCTCTTCCCACCCTAAGGCTGCCGCAAGATGTTCCTACCTCACGTTGCGACCCGGTCTGTGTGTCTGCGCCCGCCTGTGCCGTGGGTCCCGAGGTTTCTCCGCCGGGCCTGGTGCTCGGAAGCTGAGCTCGGACAAGGAAGAGGAAGGTTACACCGCGCCCGCGCAGGGCAATTCACCTGCAGTGATTGACAGCGCTGGGAAACCTGCGGCTGCCGGTGCGTCGGCTGCGGACAGGTGCGCGGCTGCGCGCGTGGCGGCTGCGCGGGCCTGGGTTTTCGCTCGGTCACCTTGGAAATGGAAGCCCTCCCGGGGTGTTGAACGCTTTTACTGCTCAGCAGCTGAGACTTCTGCATCCTCCCGAGCTAGAAAAGGAAAATCAAGCCCAGCAATAGCTACTACAGGGAATAGATTCATATCTCACCTGTTTTCACACGTTTGTTATGAGATAGGCTAGGTCAGTATCAACACCTTTAACTGATCGTCCAATTAAAGCCCAAAAAAAGTAATTTTCCTGAAGTCCCACCGTTGATCATGGTTAGAATAATGTATGCTGTTAGTAGCTGCATTATGCTGCATTATTAGGTACTTAAATCTAATCTCTATTCCCTTTCCTCATTTAATTAAGGAGTAAGTTTCCATTGGACACTTTTCCTAAAAATTAGTCTCTGGAAAGTAACCACTTTCTTTGGAAAATGTCCCAAAGTCCTTCTGGTCCCTCAGTCTTTCTGAGTTTCTTCAAATCCTATTAGGCTGAAATAAGTTGTACATGCTCTAGTAAATTTTCCCATTTTTGTGACCCCAAAGATCCAAAATTGGGCTGTCCTCCCAGTCTTTCTCATCCTAGGAAATTCAGCCATGTTCTGGTGAAAAATATTTTCCAAAGTGCCCAATTTCCTGCTTTCCTATATTCACTTTCATTTTAAAGAAATGTCCTCTTAAATACATTAACTCTATCTGAGCTTATGGGAGAGAAGGCAAGAAAAATCGTAGTATGGGCAATTAAAGTTTAGGTCAAAGAATCACTTGTGAATATTATTGTTTTAAAGGTTAACTTCATGGAAATTAGTTAACCCAGGTCTTAAGCGGGATATTTTTAAAATGAAAGAAACACAGACTTGCTTTCTACCTGTTCAGATCAATTCACCCCACTTGAAAAAGGGGATGGTGGCCTCCACATCAAAGCCCACACTGTGGAATCTCCACCTTCTCCTCAGGGGCCTCCAGTGGTCTCGGATCACAGGGTAACATAATCCAGAGACCACCACCCTTCACAGCAGGAGTGGCCTCCGGCATCCATTCCCGCTGCGCTCTGGGCCTAAACCTCACTCATCTTATGGCTGCGGTACCTGGTGGTCAGCAAGACATAGGTTTCAAGTAAAACCCAGGTGACAAATGGCCCAATATATTTAAATTTTTTTATTGCATACCTAAAGTATTTATACTTTGTATCAGGAAGTCTAATTATATTTTTGAGATTCATTTTTCTGTAGTTGTTAATAGTAATAGTCTATTTCAAATGTTCATAAGGAATATTTGAAACTGTAATATGTAAAGTTCTACATGACTTTTTTGTGAAACATATTTTAAAAGAAAAAGCAAAAGCATACAATACATGCAAGCCTATTTTAAGTAGGCCTCCTTCCGAAAGCATCATATACACACACATACAGAAATGCGAACTATTTTTTATAGGTTCCATTACAATGTATTATTAGTAACAAAGAAAATTTTTTTCTGTTATTTATAAATGACAGAAAATCTTCACAAATTAATATATACAACATCAGAGATAGGTACTTTTGTCAGAAATGAATCACTAAATGATTTTTTATTTTAAAAAATGTCATGGGACAAACACTGGCTTAATTTGAGAGGTGCTGAGAAACTGTTCAGCTCAAAGGATCACTAGCATTGGCACCAAATTTTTACCTTTAGCATTTAATTTCCTTCACACTAAGCTTTGCTTCTGGCGGGCTTTGTTTTTTATTGTTGCCGTTGTTTAAATTGGTTCTGTTTCTGAGGACAATAATTCTCCTTGATGCCCTAGAGACCTTGAGTCCATCCAGCTGCTTTGCTCCCTGGAAAGGAGGTGCCTGGACACACAGGGATTCTGAAAGGGGTCAGAACCAAGGGACGGAGTTGCTATAGGGCTGGCTGAGTACGAGGAGCAAGGGTCACTGGTCGTACTGCAGGAGCATCAGGGGCTTCTGGGTGGTGAATGAGTGTGGGGGGGCGTGGGGGGGGATGTGTGACTATTTTGAGGGGTAGGAGGTTTTACCCCGTAGGCTTTTCTGATGAGTTCAGCACATAGTTCAAAATGTCTACTTTGGTCTAATTTATTTATTCCTCAGTGAGAACTTGAAATGAAAGAGGTGGTTAAATGCTGACGGAAGTGGGATTCAACCAGAGCTCATGTGTCCCTCACTGTGGTGTGTTTCAGAGACTGGAGCACAAGGAGGTGTTGGTGGGCCTGTCCTTCTTGGTCTTCCCGTTCGTCCCAGCCAGCAATCTCTTCTTCACGGTCGGTTTTGTGGTGGCAGAGAGAGTCCTTTACATGCCGAGGTAATTATTGCTCATGCTTTCCTGTTTGCAAGACCCGCCCTCTGTCCCCAGCATGCGCAGCTCCCCAGAGACACTCCTGGGTGCGTATAACAATCACGTGTGGGGCCAAGGCGCTTATTACCTCGGCTTTAAACAGCAGCAGAGAGGCCAGGGTGGGCTCAGGTTTGCACGCACCCCCTCCGGTGTGCAGTGGCTCACCTCCAGGAGGGAGCTTCATGGCCAAATGTGAAATACCGACTCGAGTATGTTGAGGATTTTAGCAGCAATTGTTTACCACAATATCTATGTTTTATTAAACATAATGGTAGTAATTTTCTAGAATTATCTGATTTGCATAAATTATTATGTTAAGTAGCATGATTATAATTAACTTCTTCCCATCTTCCTTCTTCCTTTCCCTCTTTATTTAATTTAAAAATAGAATACATGCTAAGAGCAGATTTCAGGTGGAATACACTCAAAAAATGCTATGTGAGCAGATTTGTTAATTAGCTTGTCTGTAGTGATCATTTCATTACATATATGTACTTCAAATCATGGTATACACCTTTATACAGTTTTTATCTTAAATGAAAAAAATTTTAATGTTTTAATCATTAAAATAAGTAAAATCAAAATAGGAACAATCTCAAGAAATCTGTCCTTGTGAAAAAAGTGGTTTAAAAATTATAAAGGGCAATCAGACTTGTGAGATTACATAATGCCACTTAGCTGTGAATGTTTGAACCGCTCAGTCTCATCTGTGCGGTTGTCTTAATGAAATGTCAGTATTCTCAGGCCACACTTTCTTTTGGATTTGGAAGTGACCCTGAATGAAAGAATAGTCTTTGTTCTGCCAACAACCAGCCCTGTGTCCTGGAGCAAGACATAAAGCTTCTCCGAGCCAGGTTTTCTCATTTTTTCAGAATCAGGGCATTTGACTGAACAATCTCTGAAATTATCTCATTTTAGAAATGATACATATAAGAATAACTATTTTCCCATAGTCATCGCAAACCAATGTATTATAAAGAAATCACTGATTTGATGACTTGGGGCTAGCAATAAAAATTAAAATCTTACATTCTAATTAGAAATGGATTTCAAAATTGTGGATCTCCTAAGAACCAAGTACTTAATAGCTTTCTTGAGATACTTCAATATTTTGCTTTCAATTGACTAAGAAGGGGTCAGCTCAATATGTTCTTTATAAGGCTTCAGCACAATTTGAGAAGCAGCTTATTGCTCAATCAATACTATTCAATAAGAATAAAAATAGGTCAATAATTCTAGGTATTCTATATGTGCACTCTGTTCTCCCCCTACCCTAACTTCAAAAGTACCCAAATACTACCTTCTTCTCAATTACACTTTGAAATAAGGAGGAAAGAATGGGAATGGTTATTTAGTATTGGCTACTGCTTAGCGCTGTATAGTTTTAGGGTCAGAATTTCGTCATCAAAATATGGGAATAATCTTTTATGCTAATGACAAGTGCCAGTTTTATGGGAGTCCTTTTTGAACAGTCAGGCCTGTTTATGACTACAAATTTGTTGCCCTCTTATTTTTATCCAAAAGAAAATAAAATTTCATGGCTCTTTTTCTTCATATTTCAGTCATATTTCATTTGACTAAGATTTCATAAAATTGAATAAGTTGAAATAGTTCATGAGAGGTGTCAAAATAAGAAATAGAGTCTAATCATTCATTCACTTGCAAAACTAGATAATTTTTCATTTAAGTACTAAAGAGCAAATCCCAAGCTAATAAACAACTTGAATGGCTTGGACTGGGGTAAATGTAGACATAATTCAGCAAAGACAGAAATAAACAACTTGAATGGGTTGGAATGGGGGAAATGTAGACATAATTCAGCAAAGGCAGAAATAATATATGGGATATAGAACTTATTAGAATAATTGAGACTAAAGATGGAGAACTTGAATATATAGCTGGGGAAAGAAGAAAAACTAAAAATGGCTATAAATTTAAGAACTTTATACTGTATGGTCCCTGAAAATAGATACTGGAGACATGAGGAATTTGAAAAAGAGTGACCTTCTGTTATTTTCTATTGTGAGTAAAAAATTCAAACCATATCTATCAATACAAAATGGAAATTTTTCACCAAGAATCTCAATAAAAATGAAGTTGCATATTATTTCTTGAGCTACAATATGAAGACTGTTTCATACAGTATGTGGGTCTCATTCTAATGCTATCTGTGCACATGAATCTCCTAAGCTTCAGAATCACTGGAGAAGAGAGATGCTAAATTGAAACTGAATCTACTTGTCTATTTATCATCAACAGGAAGGCATTTTATGCTTACCAGAAACTTAATTTAGCAAACACAATCGAAAGAACACTGAACTAGCTGGTAGGTAACCTTGGAAAGTCATTGACATTTACCACATTACCACTTTCTGATCTATACAATGAAAGAGTGGGTCTGTTTCCGTGACTTCCACATGTTGGTTGAAGAACTATTGCGGACTGATGGTCCATGACAGTTTTTACCGATCTGTGGCCACATGGAAATTAAAGGAAGACAGGTAATATGTTTTTCATGAAGCTAAATCTCTGCAGCTTTTAAATTCTAAGATTATGTCTATTCCACTTTATTGCTTTAGATATCCTTTCATTATGAAATAATAAAGGCAGATGGTAGTTTTATTTATTAAAATCCCTATTTGGCAAAGTTAAAGATATTAATAATTGCCAATTATTACTGCTCCTACTTGATAATCCTCTGATGGTGCTCCCAGTGTTTTTCAAAGATCTAAGTCTAGTGTCCCTAGGTTACATGATTTCTAAGATTTCATTCACCTCTAAAGGTCAATTGTTTTGTGATTTGAAGTAATGGGCTAGAGAATATGTGAGGACTGGGCAAGGTTGATCCATCGATGAGATGCAGATTTTAAGGGGTCTAGACCACAGGAATCGTAGTGAGCCCAGAAATCAGGCACAGCCTTGATGCTTTGTCCGACACACTCACTGAACTGATATACTAGAGAAGCAGGAAAAGCAACATGGCCTTGTCAAAGAACCATTCCGCTAAACACTGGGAAATAAATCAGCGTAGAACTTACGTGGTTGAGATCATTAGGACTGTAGAGCTATCTGATGATGCCTGGTCCTCAGTCTGTTTGTCATGCACTCTTGACATGGTCACCTTAGGACAAAAACAAGTCTCTCTCATCATAACAGAAGAATTAATTTATAAGAACGGCAAGAGAAAAAGAAAAAACTTTCAAATCAAGTATAGAATTTAGCTGCTGGTTGGGATCGAGAAAGTCACAAGAGCCTGTCAATCATGCCCTAACAAAGAGAAGAGAAAACAGACCAGGAAAGCCACAAGATCATAGTTTTTCCAGACCAACCGGAACACTGAAGATGCCCAAGTGGCCTAAACTCCTTCATAAGGAAGAAAAGCCCAGGGCTGTTTCCGTCCGTGCCGGTACAATGAAGGGAAGAGGACGAATCTGCCATAGCCTAAAGGTGAGGTCCAGTCGGCTAAAATTTTTAATGAACACTTAACAGCTAACTGTAGCCTGGCTTTACAGGTTATAATTCCAAGGAGCCCAAGCCACAGATGAATCAATATCCACCCCCGGTTCTCTGACATTGGTCTTCAGCTGATTGTAAACTCGGCAAGAGTAAACTCTAACTAGAAGCTTTTCTGAATTTCAATTGTGGTAAAATATGCATGACATAAATTTCCCATTTTAACAATCTTTAAGTTACAAGATATACTACAGTTCTACGGCATTAAGTGCAATGACATTGTTTCGCTACATCACCACCATCTGTCCACAGAACTCCCCTCGTCTTGCCAAACTAAAACTGTACCTCATATAAGCGAAATTACACAGTATTTGTCTTTTCTATGATGGACTTATTTCACACACCATAATATCCTCTAAATTCATCCATTTTGTAGCATCTGTCAGATTCTTTTCTTTTTTCAGACTGAATAAGATGTGTATATATATATATATACATCAATAGGCAGACACTTGGGTTATTTCCTCCTTTGTGTAGATACCCAGAAATGGAATTGCTGGATCACATGATAATTCTATTTTTAATGTTTTTAGGACCCACCATACAATTTTCCATAGTGAATACAGCATTTTACATCCCTGTCAATAGTGCACGAGGCTCCAATGTCCTCACATCCTAGCCTACACTTGTTACTTTATGGGGGGTTTTGGTAGTAGCCATCCTAATGGATAATAGACAGTGAAGTTACTTTAAAAAAATAATTATATTGAGATATAGTTCACATTCCATACAATTCACCCATTTAAAGTATACACATCAATGATTTTTAGTATATTCACAGAATTGTGCAACTATCACCACTAATTATAGAACATTTTTGTCACCCCAAAAAGAAATCCCACACCCATTATTAGTCATTCCCCGTTTATCTCAAACATCTCCAGCCCTAAGAAACCACTAATCCACTTTCTGTCTCCATAGATTTGCCTATTCTGCACATTTCCTACAAATGGGATCATACTAGATCCGGTTTCTTGTAACTGGCCTCTTCCACTAGCATGTTCTCAAGTTTCCTTCACGTTGTACCCTGTAGCAATACTCTCCACACAGCCATCTCCATCTACCTATCAATCTACCTATCTATCCCCATCTTCTCAGCTCTGTTCCTCTGGAGAACCCTAACACCATATTATATGCTATATTGTTATCATCATTTATTGAGCATTATTTGTGCTCCAGATGTTGTCATTAGCACAACCACCATACAGGGTAATTACTATTATTATTAACCCCACTTTATCAATGAGGAAATTAAGATCTAGAACAGTGCTGCCCAATAGAGATAAAATGTGAGCCACACTCATAATTACCCATTTATCATTAAACTTTCTAGTAGTTACATTAAAAAGAGAAAAACAAGTGAAATTAACTTCAACATTTTACTTCACCTAATGAATCTGAAATATCATTTCGAGATGCAATCAATATTTTTAAATAACTGTTGAGATATTTTATATATTTTATATTATTTTCTTCATACCATGTCTTTAAAACGCAGTGTTGTATTTTATCTTATAGAATGTCTAAATTCAGAACCACAGTTCAGGCACTCAGTAGTTACATGTGGTTATTGAGTAACGTATTAGCACAATCTAAAGACTCAACAAAATTTGTCTTTCTCACACAAAAGCCTGAACTCTTATTCATAACTAGACAATACTGCATCTCATATCTAGAGATGTTGCATAATTTTTAGAACTGATAGGAAATCAATGAGGTGAGAGAAGTTATCTCATATTAAGAGATAAATTTGAACCCAGACAGTTTCCTGGGAGTAAAAAGAATGACCCTGCTCTCCAGGTTTCTTTGTGAATAAAGAGAATAATGCAGGAAAAAATATATAGCTATATTTCTATGTGATATGTACTGAATATGTAGTATATATATTGAATATAAATATGCTGAATTTATACACATACTGAATATAAAGATGCTCTTCAGATCCAGCCTATAGGATAGGAAACTAGGAAAATGATAGATGGTTTTGGAAATTTGGGCAATATGAAAATGCTCTAGTTGGCAGAAATGTTTCCATCTACCATATATTCAGATACAGAAGTCATAAGGGCCTACTTTGTCTCAGCTCACAAAAGCCAGCAGCTTCCAGGTCAAATCTGACATGAGGGGTTTCCACTCACAGAAGGTGCGGACCCCAGACCCTTCCACACCGCAGCCTCCATCACCTGCCTGGGTTCACTATTCAAGGGCTTTGCTCTAACCATTCCAGGCCAAGATCCATGGGGCCAAAGTAAGAGCTTATCATCCAAGAATTTTTCAAATGCACATAAGTGTAGGATCTCAACAGGTCAGAATCCAGTAAGTTAGGGAGGCTTTGGTCTAGATCCTATTTAAGTAAGCAGATTTAAAGGAAATTTCAGTAAATCTGAACTACATTTTTTAATTTGTGTATTGCTCTGTCCGGCTTTTTTTTAAAAAAAAAAAAGTCCTAGGCCATGGAGTGTAATGACAGCGCTTCACGTGAAGCCTTGAAGTCTGAAGGTGACTTGAAGCACGATTTTGATGATCAGGCAGAGAAAGAGGAGGAAAAGGGGAAGGAGGGAGGAGACAGAGACAGAGGAAAGGGGGGAGGAGGGGAGGAAGGAGAAAGAAAAGAGGAAGAAGTTTTGTGACAGTTCTTCCAAATATTTTTTCTTCCTGTGTAATGTTTACATATTGGAGAAAGAACTTTGATAGAGTCTGAGATTAAAACATTGAGGATTAAGGGACTAAAAATGTATTCTTTGTATGGTGTCTTCAGGTTACAAGCACCACATGTTATTTGCTTTCATACTAAGATGTTTTAAAATTAAAGAACATGAATCTGCACATAAAGACATGCATCTGTAACAAATGGGTTTGGCAAATGCCATAAAAATTAGATGGACAACTTTTCTTTTAGTCATGGAAATATGACACTTATTTGGGATTTAATCTAAATGACCTCCTTTTATACTTTCCGCATATGAAAAACTCACCTGTTCATAACTACATTAACCCAGTGTTTCTCTTTTCCTTCTTTCTTTTCTTTTCTCTTCCTTCCTCTTTTCTTTCTTTCTCTTACTAGCAAGCTTGGCACATTCAGTTCTTGGTAAAATATATGGAGGTTTTTGGGCCAATTCCAGGCCAAGGTTCATTTTCCGGGGCTGCAAGAAAAACAATCAATCAATAGGGCGTGTCCTCACACGTCGTGTAGCAGAGCCCTCAACCCTATAGCCCTGAGAAACTTCATCAGGACACTTCTATGTTCCAGTAGATCCTCATACTAAATTATATTAGCACTTTTTATAAGAACTTTAGAGATTTGCAGGAAAAAACTGTTTCCGCAGAGCACAATTCCTATGTGGATAATATTTATTAAGCTGTACCTTGTTTGTTTCCTGTCTTAATCCTTCCTATTCATTTTCCGGGGCTGCCACAGTAAATTACCACAAACTGGTGGCTAAAAACAACAGAATTTATCCTCTCATAGTTCTGGAGGCTGGAATTCCAAAATCAAAATATCAACAAGGCCATGTTTCCCCTACAGGCTCCAGGGAAGAATTCTTTCTCCTCTTCCAGCTTCTGGGGGCCCGGATTTGTGGCTGCACAGCATAGTCTCAGCCTCTCTTCACATGGCCTTCTCTCTACGTCTCTACTCTGTGTGTCTCTTATAAGGACACTTGTCATTGAATTTGGGACCCATCTGAGACAATCTATCATGAGCTCATATCAAAATCCTTAAATTAAGTACATCTGCAAAGACCCTTTTTCCAAAAAAGGTCACACTCCCAAAACACATGAATGTATCTTTCGGGCAGACCACCATTCAGCCCCCCAGCAAATACAAGTTCCCTGAGGCAGAGTCACATACTCACTGGTACCTGGTATATGACTCCCCATCTTAGGTTCACTAGCTGGCCCAGGAAATTATATTAAAAGAAATATGACAAAAGCAAGTTTATTAACATATGCATCATGCCTACAGGAGGGGGCACTCGATGATGAGTAACTCAAAGAGGTGGTTAGAACTTGAGCTTGAACAGCATCTTAGCAGAATGAAATCTGGCTGTCAAGAGAATCCCTGTTCAGGTGCAATTAGATGGCTCAAACTGACTCTCTTCCCACTTATTTCTTTGTTTACATGTTAGTTTCCAAACAAGTGAGGTCACATGGATCTGGCAATATTTATTAACCAAAACATTGTAGTTAGAAATGCTCTGAACAGAAGATATGATTTCTTTGAGGCCTTAACTTTAGCTTTTTCGAATGATATTACATGAACGCGGGCTGGTTCTAAAGCGAATTCATGAATGGAAGACTCATGGGAAGGTTTTTGGTCTGTTTATTCAGATGGAAACAGTATTAATGATGAGCTGAGCTGTAAAATCAGCTATAAACAAAATGAAACCGATATGCCTAATTTCACTGTGCAGCCAAGCAGTGGGGAAGGTGCTCACACAGAGAGGAAAAAGAGAAATGCAGTACCTTTTTTTCCTTAGAATATTCTGGAATGCTGAACAGGGATCTGTGGTCTAATTTCTTTATAAGGAAATGAAAACGTTTTGCATGTCCTGATAGGTTTTATGTGTAGGAGCTGTTTCTAACATTCATACAGAAATGTTGATGCATAATTCATAGACCTATACTTGTAGTAAAGTATACACACTCTCTGGGACTGTCATTCCTATGATCTGTGTGTCCGGGTTTCTGACTCACCAGTTCTCCAGCTGCAGGGACCTTCTCTACCTTCTGCTTGTATCTCAGTATCATTTCCCAGCACCCCAACTCCAGTAAACTACTGAAGACACCCGGCTCCATTCATGCTTTCCTGCTAAATTGGCCATCTGCCCTCATTAAAGACGAATTGGCCAATTCTATCAGCCTGGTTTCTCATGTCCCTCCTTGCTGGTACCTAGTGGTTGGTCTCGTTAAATGGGTACCCATGTTCCATCTGTGACCCCGGTCCTCCTACCCTGCCTTGTGCTTAATTTGCTCACCTCCAGCCTTGAATACAGGCTGCACATAGCGACTCACTTCTAAAGAGCGCTGCGAGAAAAGGGGGGAGAAAGAGGAACTTGGCAATGCAGAGGCTGACGGTGATCAAGGTCAACATCCACATTCATCAACCATTTGCTGACAGCACACACTCTTGATACGATGGGATGAAAACAACACTTTACCTGGGTGATCTTCCCCCTAAAATCCCATTACTCCAGTCTCATCAGGAGAAAAACGTCAGACAAATTCCAATAGTGGGACATCTAACCAAAAGAAAAAGAAGAAGAATCCTCTGAGCTATGTTCTTTCTCTTACTCAAAAGCCACAATTGTGTAGAGAACAAACATTCCCACGGGATTCTAGAAACCCCTGTAAGGTGGAGCAGTTTGACATAGAACGTCCACATCTTTAAGCATCTTTTTTTCTTGTCCGAGGTGGCCTAAATCAAAATCTTTCACTGGCAGCTGGTGAGAGGGACCCCTGCTCCCCCACAAGCCTGTCCGGGGTGCCCGGCTGCGTGGCGAGGACCCTCGCTCGCGCCCAGGTTTGTCCCTGTTTCCCAGGTCTCATGTGAGATTTTTCCTCGTCCCCCATGCCTCTCTCTGGGGTGACCTTGATCCCCCCCCCCAGTTTGGTATGAGCGCTAAGTGGAATGCAGCCCGTGAGGGACCCCGGGGCTGAGGAGAGGGCACCCGTGCCCTGGTCACTCCGCCAGAAGACGAGGCCGCGTGGAGCGAGTGCCCCCAGCCTGCCCTCCAGCCCACGGCCTTTCACACTCTCTCCCCAGGCCGCTCAGAGGAAGGCGTGTCTACCGTGCAGTGTGCAAAAGGCCACCGGCTTATCCTTGAAAGGCAGCTTTTATCACTTACACAGAGAAATGACAAAGTTCATCCAGAAGAGCACATTTTGAAGAATAACATTTTCTTAGTAGTTCCAGCCACCAGCGTCGCGTTAGCTCAACCCCATCACTCCAGTCTCCGCGGTGTCTTTCTCACCACATGCCATTGAAAGATTTTGATTTAACCGGCCTTGGACAGGAAAAAAAGATGCTGAAAGCCGGAAACGTTCTGTGTCAAACCGCTCCACCACGTCGGGGTGTCTAGAAGTCCATGGGCATGTTTGTTCTCTACACACTCCGGACGTGCATTAGCGCCAAGTAACAAACATTGCGTTTGGGCAACTTCAGTAAAAAGACTGTACTGCAAGGGTGGGGCAAGCTCGCGGAGTCGGAGGCAATGTCGAGGCACCTGGCTTGTAGCAAACAAGAAGTGGGAGGTGGTGTGGGCTGGGGTGTATACCCCCAAATTTTTATGTTGGAGCCCGAATCCTCAGCACCTCAAAATGGGACTGAATTTGGCCTTTGAAGAGGCAGTTAAGTTAAAGGGGGCCATCGGGGGAGCCTGCTGGCTGGCGTCCTTGTAAGAAGAGACAAGGACACAGCGAGACACCAGGGATGCCTGTGCCCAGGGAAGCCCACCTGAGGGCGCGGAGGGGAGGCGGAGGTCTGCAGGCCACAGGGGAGGCCTCCGAGGACACTGAGCCTGCTGACAGCTTGTCTGTGGGCGTCTCACCTCCAGAAGGGTGAGAAAATAAATTCCTGCTGTTTAAACCAGCCAGGCTATGGGATTTTGTCACGACAGCCCTAGGGCACTAATCTGGAGGCTTGAGGGTGAGCTCCGACACTCAGCACTGAGGCGAATGGAAGAACCCCCCACCTGGCCTGTCCTCACATTCAAGTCCTGGTAGGGAAAATCCCACCTGTCCTTTGTTACACCCTTACCTGAACGACAGCCGTGTCTTAATCTAAGTGACCTTGGGGCGAGGGGGATTCTTTGGAAAGATAGCAGGTTATATCAAGGACAATAAGCTGGGGTTCAAACCCTCACCACTGATTCCAGCGAATCAACAAAAATTCCTTCACCTTGCACGGGAAAAGGTGCTGTTCTTTTTGAGAGCAGGGGCAGAAAGCCATGATTTGATTCTTTAAACACAACCCTCACACCTGCGCGATGAAAGACTAACCAGGGAGGCCAGCAGAGGGCCTCTAGAAGGATTTTGTTAATATGCAAAGAAAATACTTCCACCATTGTTAGAAACCATGCCTATTATCTTAAAAACTCTTTGTACTGACATAGCATTTAAGAACGTAAGCCTTCAGGTGTACACGTATTCCTCACGGTCAGATGTCTCTGTGAGTTCATCTGTGAGGACGTTTGGCTGAGTGTAACAAGCATTCACTGCTGCAGGACAGTAGAGTGAAATGTCAGGCTTGGTTTATGTGGGGTCTGCATAGACCTGCTCCTGTTCTCCTGTTCTTCTCCTGGGTTTACCTTTACTATGTATGTGACTGGGCAAGTTACCTTGATATTGGGATTTCTCATAAAAGACATGTATGCTTGTCTTGGTCCCAGGTCCTGGCATGGAGCTCCTGAAACCCTTGGAATTTCCTAGGCGAAGAGAGGGATAAAGGTGTCTTTTGTTATGTCAACAAGATGACTTCTGGAAAGCCCCTTGGTACCCTAAGGATGGGGGCTGGTTGCCAGGGGAACCGACCCCCGTGATTGGAGGGTGCAACTCCCCCTTCGCGCACTCCCCACTGCATCCCAGGAAGGAAGAGGGGCCAGAGGTTGAGTTCAGTCACTAGCTGCTGACTTACCAATCCTGCCTGATAATGACGTCTCCCTAGAAAACCAAAAGAACGGGGTTCAAAGAGCTACCAGGCTTGTGAACACATGGCGATTCCGGGAAAATGGCCCCTGGAGAGGGCATGGAAGCTGCACATCCTTCCCCATACTTTGCCCTACACATCCCTTCCATCTGGCTGTTCGTGAGTCATATCCTTTTATAATAAACCAGTAATCTAGTAAGTAAAAGGGTTTCCTGAGTTCCGCGAGCTGCTCTAGCAAATAAATCAGACCCACAGAGGAGGCACTGGGAAGCTCCAATCTGTAGCTATTTGGTCAGAAGCACAGGTGACCATCTGAATTTGCAAATGGCACAGGCAAGGGGACAGTTAAGGACCGAGCCCTTAACGTAAGGGATCTCACACTATGTGCAGGTATACAGGGTCAGAATTAAGTTACACTATAGGCCACCCAGCTGAAGTCAGAGAACTGCTTGGTGGTGTGGGAGGAGACCCACACCGGAACTGGCGTCAGAATTATATATATATCTAAAAACCTAACCATTCTTGTTTCCATTTCTTCATCTGTAAA